GAAAAACCTAATTGACTTGTTAGTGGAATGGCTTAATTCTAAATTCCTCCTAAAAAATCTGATGCTAATTAACAACCCAATAATTTCTGCCTTGAATGAATTACAGATATCAATGCAATCAAATCCTAATTACTGGAATAAAAAAAGTATTCCCCTCTTAGTTTCCATCATGAATAAATTCCAATATACCCCAAATTTATTTTCTAGCGACTTATTTCCGTGTCACAATTTTGAATTAGAATATCAATTAACTTCTATCCCTATTAGGAATGTGCAATCTAATAAAAGTGATGAACATGCATTAATTCAATTTCAAAGAATCTCTCTTGACAATCCACTTCACACTATAATCTTTACGGATGGGTCTGTTGATAGTAAGGGCTCAGCAGGTTTTGGTGTTTTTTGTCCTGACTTTGAATACTCATACTCTAGTAAACTCCCTACGCAGACTCAAGTTTGCACTGCAGAGATTATTGCAATTAATCATGCGGTTCAATATGTCTTGGAGAAGGATATCAAGAGGGCCTTAATCTTGTCTGATCCTAAGAGTGCTATCCAAAAGATAGGGAAAACATCTTACTCAATGGAAACTGAACATACCTCTATCATGACCAAAAGGGGCATTATAGAAGCCAATCAACAGAACATCAGTATTATTTTGGCTTGGATTCCAGGGCATTCTGATATTAAGGGCAATTGTGTTGCAGACAAATTGGCAAACATAGGAAGATCACTAAAAATGCCAGCCAAAGTTAAATTGCATTATTCAAACTACTTATTTTATATTAAAAAGCTAATTTGGACTCTATGGGCACAAGAATGGAATTCAAATAGATCAAAAGGGTCGTTTTATAGAAAAATAGTCAATACATGGAACAAATCACCATGGTTCAATCAATTTCCTTATAAAGACAGAAGGCATATCACCACAGTAATTAGAATGAGAACAGGACATTGTTCCAATCCCGTTCATTTATTCCGCATAGGTATTCAGGACAACCCGTACTGTGAATGTGGTCAAATTGGATCTCTGAATCATATTATCCTAGAGTGTCCAATAAACGTTTCTCCAAATTTTGACCTCTACAAAGAATTGGTTAAAACAAAACTACAAACTCCTATAGAGATATGCTCTTTCCTATCCAATCTTAATCCTCAAAGACTAAATTTATTGATTACTTTTCTTAATCTAGCCAAAATCAATCTATAATTATATATTCCTATCTTATCTACTATAACACAAACTTACAAATTATTCTCTCTTTTTCCACCTGGGTTCTCTATCATCCGTTGGTAGAAAAAAAAAGAAAAAAGAGGAACTTGGACAGTCCACAGTAAAGTAGCTATTGAATTAAGTAGATAGCTGCAGAAGAGTTTGCTGTGGAACTCTGAGGACCTCATCAAAAAAGACTATGCAGAAAAAGACTGGTTGTTCCCCCAAGCGAGAAAAGTTTTATCCTGTGTTGAATAGACTTTCCTATACTAACTGTTTGGCCCAAGAAGAAGAAGTTTCGACAAAGTGTTCATTCAATATAAAATAATTTCAATTTAGTGTTAGCTGGGCAAATTATCCCCTGAGATATTACCCAATAAAGGAAGAAGAAGAAGAAGACTTGTTAGTCGACAATTATTATTAAAATAGATTTAATTTTAACTTATACATATTGTTTTGGATCAACGCCAAAATTACACTAAAATTTTCCTCGTTGTTATGAACAATAAATTAAATAAGCAATTTTTAGAAATTTGTTAGAAAAGTATCATAGAGATTTAGTTAAACTCAAATAATAGTAGACAAATATTTAAAATTACGAAGTTTTACATTCGGCTTCTGAATAGCAGAGTTATTGGCGGATATTTTGGAGTTATATGCCAATTTCTAGTGGAGATATTGCAATTGTAATCATAGAAAAAATCTCAGAAAAACGATTTTGAAAACAAATAAAATTCAAAAAGATGCCACCTGCTTATAAGGCACTAACAAACAATAATGAATGTATCACTATGAGAATATATGGTATAACCCTATAATAGCAGTTGTATAGAAAAGGAAAAAAAAAGAAAATTAGTTGTACGCAACCGTGTTTTTATTCAGGACATACGAGAAAATCTGATGACGAACAAGTAAATTAGGATATGATAAAGAACTAAGACCTGATAATAATTTAACTAGTCCCAGTAATTAGTACGAAATAGTGAAAACAATTTCGAACAAAACTACTGGAACAGCATAAGCAAGTTTTTGAGGACCTCCATGGCAAATAAAGAATCCTCAGTGCCTAACCCGCCTCATTTCTTTCGACAAACATTCAACAAACCCACAGTTATTCAAATCCGCCTTCAACGATATGCTTCACAACTACAAGGACTATACACATATATACACAGATGCATCTAAATCAAATGAAGGTACTGGTGCTGCAATCATAACCCCAACATCGACAAATAAATATAAACTCCCTTCAGAGTACTCCATTTACTCTGCTGAGCTGTATGCTCTATACCAGGCTACCCTTGCTGTCAATGCATCCAATGTTACCAATTATATCATACTCACAGACTCTCTAAGTTCAGTCCAGTCAATCCAATATGTCTACCCAACTAATCCTTTAGTCATCAAGATAAAAGAAGAAATCCACACCGCTCAACTGAATGGAAAAAATATTATATTATTTTGGATACCATCCCATATTGGAATTCCAGGAAATGAAGAGGCAGACAACGCTGCAAAAGAAGCTGCAAGAAGTGATAGTGCGGAATGTACTAAGACATTTACGAGTGCGGACGTAAAAGCAACGATTAAATTTAAAGTGCGATATATGTGGAATGAAAAGTGGAAAGTGTCATCGGCAAAGCTACGCGATGTAAAAAAATCGATTAAACCCTGGCCCACATTACCAACAAGTCGAAGAGACCAGGTAATATTAACGCGACTTCGACTGGGTCATACGCGACTAACGAATAGCTACGTGTTCTCTAACAAACAAGAACCAAGATGTGACAACTGTGACGAAAAAATAACAGTCAAACATATATTGGAAAAATGTCCAGCATTAACGCCAAAGCGCATATTGTACAGTATACCCAACAAACTAAGTGACATTTTAGGTTTACAGTGCAATATTTCAAACATAAAAAGTTTCTTAACCTCACTTAATATTTTAAATTCTATATAAACTAATATTATAAATGTAATAAAAATTATTGTTCGCTAATAGCCAATTTGGCTGATGCGATTTTGTTAATAAAAAAAAAAAGAAAAAAGTTTTTGAGGAAAAACGTTAAAAATTTAGTAGGACAAAAACAGAGTATTTGAAATATTTATTCAAAGATTGAGTGACTACAAATAAAATGATATCTTTGGATGGTGAAATGATTGTGAAAAATAATAGTTTTAAGTACAGCATTACAAAAGAAGTATTACAGAGTAATGTGGAAATAGATGAAGTAGAATTGGGGTTTGATGAATTAATTGAAAGGAAGCTAGTAGTGTATTGTGTGACAGAAAAATTCCAATGTAGCTGAAGAGAATACTCTATTCGCTCCGTGCGTGACCATGGTAGGGGTACATTGAAACGACGCCAGCGTGCATAGCGGCGAAATATGACAGAATTGGAATATTGGACAAAATATTTTTACGCATAAATTTTATCAAAAATGTGTGCAAATACATGTTGCGTATTTAATTGTGCTAATAATAGCAAAAACAGTGAGTGTAGTTTTTATAGGTTCCCAAAGATTACATATAAATTAGAGAAAAGAAAAAGATAAATTCCTGCTATTAATATGAAAAAGTAAATATCACATAATTTCATTTTTACGCAATTGAAATAGGAAAAATTTAAATAATTTACCTTGAATGATATTTCATAAGGCTTCAAGCTAACTGCAGATGACCTTAGCTTTTATATCATAACTTTTACTATTATTGTTTTTAATTATATGCTCTTTTGCGTGGAAAAACTTGATTTGTCAGTACTAGATTTTTCCCTTTCTCTTACGTTTGGAGTTGAAAAGATATATTATGATGAATTTTGAGAAACCCAGTTTTTAATACTACATTTATTTTGTACATAAACTGAAAAAAGTATAGTTAAAAAACTAATTTATTAATAATTGTCAATTTCGCATGTATTTAACAATGCCAAACATATGTCATATGTTTAACCTGAAAATTGGTACTCCAAAAATTGTCAGAAAAAGGCGGTAGGTCTCGTGTCAGTCACGCACGGAGCGAATAAAACAGCCAGTAGAATAGCTATAATGTGCGGAACTGAACGTTTAGATGGCTGAATGAAGTAACAAGACGCTAGTTACCCAATATAAGGATATAAGGAAGTTTCTGGAAGAAAACGAAGGGGAAGACACAAAAATATCTGGGGAGAAACGCTTAGGAAAGACTTTTTGGTAAAGAGAATGGATATTGGTATGATTGGTATGAAATGCTCGTATATACATTTATACGTTTTATTTAAGAATATGGCGTGTTCTCAATTTATTAACAGGTAAAAATAGAATCAGTTCCTGGAATTTATTTAGTAGTTGGAGTTGGAAAAAAAAATTTGTACTCACTTACTAGTAAATTGTATATTACCTACTATTTGGATGCTAAGTAAATGCATCATAACAGATACTGACCTGTAATGACTAGCAAGTAATAAAAAAAATTACGCTTCAGTTTTATAAAAAATGCGTAATATCACATAAGCCTCGTAAGTCAGTTGGTCAACTTACCATGGAAACGAATTAACAGACGTTATTTTGACAGATTAAAAATTATTAATCTGTCAGTGTAAATATAGTGGTAATTTAATTTTTATTTTTTATAAACGAAAATAATCGTAGAAAAAGTATAGTACACAACTTGAGTTGTAAGCTTATTACATGCTTGTAAAATTACTGCGCTCGCCGCTACGCGGCACGCGCGCAACTTTTTTACTCGCATGTAATAAGCTTCTTACAACTCTCGTTATGTAATATACTAATATAAATAACAAACCTTACGAAGGAAATCCTTTATTTAAACAATGCCATTAATAATATACCTAAATTACAGATAAAGACATTAATACACATAATACGTTAACCTCAGTAAAACGTAATTTTTCTAACGGTAGTATTTTAATAATGTGCATCAATAGATTAATTGAAAATAATTTATAGTTTCTACCCTTAAAATTATATTCATATTTTATAAACATATACACGATGATTCCCGTTTTACTTTAAGGTAATTTCTATTATACATAACTGCCGAAATGGCCATTTGGAATGTAGCATCTATAAAACTCATAGTCTTGGATGAATTTTCAATAAAACCGTGAGCGTTAATGTCTCTAGCTAACTCTTCCCCTGCTCAGTTGTGATATGTGAGGGCCGATTCCTTCTAAGATCCATTTTCGTTCCTAAAAAAGAAGAAAACCTATTATTGATTTATCCGTTTTTTTTTTCAATTTTATACTATCTACGATTTACTCGCAATGATCAAAGACCAGTCAGTAATCAAGATACCGTTACGCCAGCCAGTGCTATGCTCCTGAGCGAATTAACTAGGCATTTGGAGAAGATCTGCGGCTTTTCTGACATCACGAGAATTCCACTGAATTCTTGAAACATTGAATGAGACGGACTATTTAAAGGGTTATTAGATTTTAGGAGTTTGTCTGATAAATATATTTGTACCGTTAAATAAATAAACGTTATAAATTTATAGCGTTTTAGTGTTAGAGTGTGCGAAGACTAGATATAAATTAAAATAAACATTATTTTAAATTCAAGAACAAAGATAAGGTTTGTTTAATAATTGTCAATTTTAGTTGATATGATAAATTATAAAATCTCAAAACAGCTAAATGTTAACGATATAAACCAATATGCAGATATTTATAAAAGTTTTCGCTTAAAAGTAAATATCTATAATTTTTATTTGTATAATAACTCTTTCTACCTGAAAAATAGATCTTTAGCTTACCCGCAAGAATTATTTTGGCTTTTGGCGAGAACCTCTTGAGTTCTGGAGCCCATTTTAAGAAAACGTTTTCGTAGGAAGTCTTTTCATTCACAGCGTATGTCACGATAAAGCAGTCCACCTAAAAATATATCGACTTTGTTAATCTTAAAGTTATAGTGTAAAGATTCGAGGAAATATATGGGTGACTTTTATTGAATTTACATATAATGCCAAGCGGTGAACATAAATTTTCTAAAATTTCAATAAAATATGTGTTTGTAGTGTAATAATAATAAACTGAATAAATTAAATATAATTATTTAAAAGTTTCTGAAATTTCTGATGACTTATAACAACTTTTAAACAAAGATTAAATGTTTTGTATTTTGAGAACGATTTCCGAAGTGGAAATCGAAATGTCAAATAAATTTATTTTTAAGTAATTTAAAGTAACATGATTGCTGATTCCCACAAAAAATAGTAAATTACGTTAAGGACCAAGTCACTAATATATCTGAAGCAGAACATACAGAAAACCCAGCTGCAACTTAAATGAAAGTAAAATGAAGTTCCGGAGATGCGCAGTGTTCCTTTTAAAAAAAAATGTGGATTATTGATAGCTCCTTTTACGATCACTTTTATAGAAAACGACGTCATCGAAACAGTGAACGAATTGGTATACCTAGGGAGCCCTCCTTAACACTGTCTGAAAATAATACATAATACGACAGAATAAACCGCAGAATTTGTCGGCCAAAAAATGCTATTTTGGGCTCAATCTCCTCCTTAAGTGGGTGATCGACGAACGAGCCATAATACCGCTGTTTTAAGAACGACGGTTTTAAACTCGCGGCTCGTTGGTGCTGATGGACTAGCGAGCAAAACAGTCGTATCAACCACCCACAGCCAACATGTCGTGTTCAACTGAAGTTTTGTGTTACCTCGCTATACAATATTAATATTAATATTAAAAAATAGTATTAAAAGCTTTAATAATATTACCAATATTAAAAACTTTAATATATTATACATTATAATATTAATATGAATGAGTAGAAACGATTACATTTAAATTTGGCAAATTGTAACTCCAGCCGACTATACGAACTTACAAGTACGATTGCGCGAATCAGTGGAATTTGGATGCCAAATTCTCGGTCTGTAGATCCTTGTGACGTAGTATGCTATAGCGAGGACAAGGATCTACAGACCGAGAATTTGGCATCCAAATTCCACTGATTCGCGCAATCGTACTTGTAAGTTCGTATAGTCGGCTGGAGTTACAATTTGCCAAATTTAAATGTAATCGTTTCTACTCATTCATATTAATATTATAATGTATATAATATATTAAAGTTTTTAATATTGGTAATATTATTAAAGCTTTTAATACTATTTTTTAATATTAAGAATAATATTAAGTAATTAAATATTGCGTCTTACTTAAAAAAAGTACGAGATAAACTCGTTTTTTATATCTTTACGTATGCTAAGGGTAATAAATTAAAATCCTTCAATACAAGACTAAAGGTAGGTACCTATAATTTGAATAAGCTGGTTTTGCCCATACTGACTTTCTAATTCTAATTACCTACTAATTTGCATAACAGTCAGATATTGTACCTGGTCATAATGCTGTTTTAATATTAGGATTTTCATTTCGCTTGTTGAAACTTCATCCGATATTAATTTCTTGGAAATTTTTATAAGGCTGAGAGTACTTAATCGGAATACTCGAGTATTGTTGAAAAAAACTGAAATTGAAGGTACTACACAATCGAAGAACTCAAAAAAATTAAACATTTCCGGTATTCTTTTTCCAGATCGTATTTTGTTTTCGAGATATATTTAAATTTGGGAATTTTTTATTATTTTTCCACTTTTTTCAGGTTCTTTTTTAATTTAATTTCAGTATATAAAAGCCTTTACAATATTATCCAAATTTTATTTGGAAGTTAATCTTAACTGTTCAGAAACAATTTGCTATTTAGGAAATGAAAGATTGTTTTTTTTTCCTTAGTTCTTAATTTGCTATAACATTTCTCATTTGATTTAATAAAAAATATTGTAAATTCATTTTTTTGAATAATTATAACGACTTACATCCGAGTAGCTTAACACAATTAAAGAAAATATAACGAATACGCTCACGACTCGGAACTGAGTCTTTTCTTCTTTTCGCATAAAATATTACAAATTTATTTAAAATACCCTTTATTTAATATATACTTTATTTATTCATCACAATTAAAAAAAAATACTAGTCAGCACAGCGGTTGATTTCCATGAAAATACGCTAAGCAGTGATAATGATTGCATGTACCTAAGTTAATATTTTTGTCTTTTGGTTGGTGTTATATTGGAAATTTCCCCTCTCAAGGCATTTGCAAGAAAATTGCACTTTCATGTAAAAAAACGAGTTATTTATCTCGTACTTTTTTTAAGCAAGGCGCAATATTTAATTACTTAATATTAATATTAATATTAAAAAATAGTATTAAAAGCTTTAATAATATTACCAATATTAAAAACTTTAATATATTATACATTATAATATTAATATGAATGAGTAGAAACGATTACATTTAAATTTGGCAAATTGTAACTCCAGCCGACTATACGAACTTACAAGTACGATTGCGCGAATCAGTGGAATTTGGATGCCAAATTCTCGGTCTGTAGATCCTTGTTACTACGTCTGTTCACTTCAACGGTCGCCAAAAACTGCCGGTTTGGCTCGCCACCCGTGATACACAATTATATCGAGAAATACAAAAATAAAACTCCACAAAACAATAATACATCCAGTCCTAAATATGGTTCAGAGCATTTCCGGTAAATTCTTTTGTGGATTACTTTTAAAAACAGCTTCGGCAAATGGCACATTAGGCCTTAGGTTTGACACTGTTAAAATTTCAAAACGTGATACCCGTACAACTATTTAATTTCTAACCAATGACAAACTTAAGAATACGATGACGATATGGATACACACACAAACCATGCAAATGACTGTGTTTATGTTGAGCTTGTATTGAAACTGAACAGACCGTACTTAGTATTACTATGTATAACTCGTATTAAATACTTACATCTTTATAAGCTAATCGTCTCAGTTTATCGAACTCTTCTTGACCTGCAGTATCAGATAGTATCACTTTATATTCGACTCCATTAATCGGAATAAGCATTGAGTATACATCAAATCTAAAATGAACAAAAATAGACTACAAAAACTACATTTATTTGAATAAAAAAAAATCGTTGAAAGTATCAAATAATAAATAGTATAATATTTATCAAAATTAAACAGCACCGAAATTATTATCAGTAGTAATATCCCTAGGACATTGATAACAGACGAGATAATTTCATGACAATCGAAAGCTCGTTCCTTGGTAACAGCACGAAGCCGAAGGCTGAGTGCTGTTACCAAGCAACGAGCTTGAGAAATTTGTCATGAAATTATGAGGCATTCATCAATGTCCGAGGGATATTCGGCAGATAATTTTTCGAAAAAAAATCATAACTCAACATAACGAAACATTTATTTATTAAAAGTACACTTAGTGAAAGTACAATTATTAAAATTTAAGTTAACACTAGTAGGTTGTATTTCTGGGAATTTTTTCTTTGATTAGCGCATTTATACTTTGAACATTCTCATTGCCGAAACGTGACATTTTGAAATTTATTTGGATGAAGTTGTCAAACTCGATTGTGTTGTCATAGGGATTGAAAATTGCACTGAATGAAATTATTAGTCTAATGTTGACATGATTGGGTGAAATTGTTCCACATGGCACAAAATGACGAAATTTGAATGGTTGTTAGAACAGTCGAAAAATTATCACTTTAAAATTACACGTGCAATATATTTATTTTAATTGATGTACGACAGACTTGTAGTGAAGTGTAGTGCGTTCTACCCTAAATTATTTAGAAGACAAGCATTCGATTACCTACTAGTACCACTAGGTTGGAGTCTAGATACTAAAATACATAGATTTACGAAAATTCTTTTATGATGAATGCTTCTAAATACAAAATATAATTAAAGCATCTAATCAAGCATCTTATACTTATAGTTGTAAACTAATAATTTTCTTCGAAAGAAAAGTAGTATTAAGTGCAGTTTAAACGACAAGCGCTAGAGACCTCTGTGACCAACTCTTCTATTTCTTCTTAACAATCTTCCATTTCTACAGAACCAATATGGAGAAGACTTAGGTAACTCAGTTGTGTACAGTTCGCGCTAAACTTAGGTTATTTTTATTTAATCAATACTATTACTTCTTCTTCTTCTTTTTATATAGACATGGCTCTGTCTGTTTTTCAATGTGCCTCCAGTAAGTTGTCATTCCATCGTTTTCGTGGTCTACTTACTGTAAAAATGTAAAAAGCGAAAGAAAAAGATATCTGAGTGGCAAAAAATGTTGCTAAGATGATGAGGAATAGTGGTCAAAGTTATTCTTCGATAAAAATCACACGAAGAAGAAGATGGAACCAAAGATCGAGTATTAGTCACGCATAAGGCTAGAAGAATTCTTCTTCTTCTTTGGGTGCCGTCTTCAATGAAGGTTGGCGATAACCTCAGCAAAATCATTTCTGTCCCTGGCTTTTCTTATTAAAGATTGAGAATCCAAACCAGTCCACTCACGAATGTTCTTCAACCAGGACGCCTGCCGTCTACCAGGACCACGTTTTCCTTCTACCTTCCCCTCTATAAGAAGCTGCAGTAGCTGGTATTTCTCATTTCTGTATATGTGTCCCAAATATGAGGTTTTCCGTGTTTTCATTATTTTTAAGAGTTCTCTGTCGGTACCCATCTTGTGTAGGACCTGCTCGTTGCTCATATGCGCTGTTCAGGGGACTTTCAGCATCCTTCGAAATAACCACATTTCAAAACTTTCCAAACGCCTGAGTGAGTTGATTTTGAAGGTCCAGGCCTCCATTCCATATAGTAAGGTGCTGTAAACGTAACATTTCAGCATTCGGTATCGGATTTTGAGATTGAGTGTTTGGGACGTAAACATTTGTTTCATTTTTAAAAAGACATTTCTTGCTTGTTCAATTCGCGATTTTATTTCTATGTCTGGATCTATATCTTTCGTTATCCAGCACCCTAGATATCGAAATTTCTCGACATTTTCGATAATGTTACCATTCACGTTTAAAGCCATGGGTGGATGGATGGATGTTTTGGAGACAATCATTGTTTTTGTTTTCTTGACGTTAATGCTGAGGCCGTATTAGTTCTCCGATCGATCTGACGCGATCTAAGAGTGTTTGGAGATCCTGTGCGCTCTCTGCAATTAGGACCGTGTCGTCGGCGTATCGTACATTATTTAGAACTCTGCCGTTAATTTTAACACCTTCTCTTGATTGCTCTAGTGCTCGTGCAAAGATTTCTTCCGAATATATATTGAAAAGTAGTGGTGACAATACACACCCCTGTCGTACACCTCGCTTGATATTGAATATTTCTGTGTCACCGGCTTCTGTTCTAACTGCTGCAGTTTGGTTAAAATACAGCGTTTGGATAATTTTAAAATCGTTCTCGTCTAGTCCCTTTTTGTGAAGGCAATCCATCAGCTTATCATGTTTTACTTTGTCGAAGGCCGTTTGATAGTCAATAAAACATAAAAAGAGATCCTTTTTTTGGTCTCGACATTTTTGCAGCAGTATAATAAAACTGGTTAATGCTTCCCGTGTCCCAAATCCATTTCGGAAGCCAAATTGTTCATCACTGATATCCTGTTCACATTTCTTATAAATGCGTTGGTGAATAACTTTCAAGAATAACTTTAACATATGCGACATTAAACTAATAAGTCTGAAATCACCACACTTCTTTGCTCCCTTAGTTTTTGGAAGGGGAATAAAGACTGATTTTAACCAGTCTTGTGGAATTTCACCGCTTGTATATATTTGATTAAATAATTTGACGATTATATTTAAATGTTTCTCTTCCAGTAGCTTTATGACTTCCGTATGTATGTCATCGGGGCCAGGGGCTTTCCATTTTTTGCGTTTGTGATTGCTCTCTCTACTTCTTGTTTTAATATAGGAGGACTGGTTTCATGGTTTTTATATATTATGTTGTTTAGTGGTGTGTCCGAGAATAGTTCTTCTATGTAATGTCCCCATACGTTGTTTAGATCGCTTAATTCCCATATCGTTTCATTCTCGTCGTTTGTTAATCTACAAGGGAGTCTTTGTTTTGTCATTCCAGCTAGATCTTTTATTTTTTTGTGAAGCGTTTGACTGTCGTGTTTCTTTATTAATTCTTCGATCTCTTGGCAGTTTTCTATCATCCAATTTTCTTTTGCGGTAGCTATTTCTTTCTTGATTTGACGATGTATCTCCTATATTTTTTATTATTTTTATTTTTGTAGGCTCTTCGAGTATCCATCATTCCCAGAATTTTTTGTGTCATCCAGGGTTTAGATTTTCTTTTGTTATTAGTGTCTTTTATATATTTCTCGGCGCTAGTAAAAGCATTCTTGACTTCAGTCATAAGCCTTCTGTAGTTGGTGATAACTCTCTTTGGGAGTCTTTCACATTCCTCGTTGAGTTTAGTCTTTACCATACTTTGTATATTTTCTTGTTTAAGTAAATTGATGTCGGTTTTTTCTTTTGACAGTCTTTTTTAGCATTTTGAACTTTATTTTTAATTTAGCCACTAGTAGGTTGTGATCCGATGGAACATCTGCGCCTGGGTATGTTATTGTATCCGTTACTGCATTTTTATATCGCTGGTTTATATAATTGTAATCGATTTAATTTCGGACACAATTATTTTTATTATCTGCGGGTGATTTCCACGTATATAGCCTCCGTAGTGATAGCTTGAACCAGGTGTTCATGATAGTTAGTTGTTTCTCCTGGCAAAATTGTAGTAGTCTGTCACCTCTATCATTGCGATTGCCCAGTCCGTAATTTCCACAAACATGTTCCACTTTTCCACAACCACTTTGGCATTAAAATCTCCTCTATTCTTTGGCTAGAAGAATGCGAAAGAAATAATAAGACAGAAGATTTTCGACGATTACTGGAGTACTACTTTTGTTTGTGAGAACTTTGTTGATTTTAAACAACTATCAAGTGTTACAGGGATAAAGGATTCTTTTAAGATGGAAGAAGTTGGTTCAATCGCTCTGTCAGGAATACGCGTTTTAAAAGTTAATAAAGAAAATCCTAGTCACTTGTTATATAAAATGTCGTACAAACAACAAGAATTTAATACCTTAAACGATCTTCAAAACAAACGACGGAGTTCCATTAGCACGTGACATTACTCTAAAATGAGAATATAAAAAAAGTAGGAATAAATGAAAAAACAAAACTGGCTGAATGAAGAACAGATAAATGAAATGACAGATTTAATTAAAGACTATTTAAAGAACAAGATTCTTGCAAGAGAAACAAATGAAAAACCAAAGAAAGATGTGAAAATGATGATATCTATTTTGCAGCAATTTTGATATGCAACAAGTTCTTCAAACGCCACATTTAGATGTATCTCTAGTATATATCACAGAAAGCTTTCTGTTTACAATCTGAGTATTTATTATCTTCCTAAAAAAACATTGCTACATGTGCGATGAGACACAAAGACGGAGAGGATCCAATGAAGTAGCTTCTTCTGTTAAAAATTAATAGAAGAAAAATTTATTTGGGGAATAAAATTATCGCGTTTTTTTTAAATCAATCAATATTGTGGAATTTTAAAACGATTTGCGGAAAAATAGTATGTTTACCTCGTAGGAAAAGCCACATTCCTGGACTCTGTGTTGCTAAGTCTCGGCTTGCGCCTCGACTTAGCAATCTTCACAGTCGTCCAGGAATGTTAAGCTTTTCCTACCCGGTAAAACAATGTACTATTTTTTCTGGGAAAACTGTGACAAAAATGAAAATGGAGAAAACGTCAAGTGGCAGAAGGTACGTGTCATAATGGTTGAGCCCAATCACCCCAATGCTGTTTCTATAAAATACAATTATGATGATGTCAATTTTATCCGAATTATTACTGAGCGTAGGACAAGAAGAAAAACGTTGTCAGTGCATAATGACATGTAAATGTTGAATGCTGAAAGTTTACCTGTTTAGTACCAAAAATTAGAGGATTTTAAATATCTATGTAAATCATTGGTCACTCCGACCGTGTACTATGACTTCTATTTGAATGTGGGTAAGGAAACTTAATTTAAGAAATCACTGTTTTTTTAATTTATTTTGTAATCAGTGACATATTAAGATATTTGTATTTTTATGAACAGTGGCAATTTATTTAATCATTCCTTTATTCGGCTTTACTTAAATAACAGCTGCGTGTTTTTGTAAAAATGAAGAATATTGTTAGTGTAGAACAAGCATAGGTCCAGATAACCTACTTCTGCACTAATAATTTTGATGCAGCACTAGTCTATGTCCACCTAATTTTTTATTTAAAACAATGAATAAAAAAACTAGTTATATAGTAATGTAAAAGTTTCTAAATGAATTGAAAAGTATGCACAAAGTAATCTTTAATGTTTAAAAAACAAAATAGTGAAAACTAAACTTCTGAAAAACTTCAAATTGCTCTCCTGAAAAGTTGTGATTTTGAATTTCGGACATAGACTAGTTCTGTTCTAGCAGCGATATGAGGAATATGAAATATGCCTAAAAATTGCTGAATTTCAATACCCTCATAGCTAGTTAAGGAAGACAAAAAATATCATTCAAGGAAATATTGTAGAAAAAAGAAGTATAGAGAAATGCAACATGTTATGGATGTGACATCTAACTATTTTGTGCATCTACTTGCACAAAAAAAACAAAAAATCACGTGAAGAAGATTGCATAAAATATATACGCATCATTTTCTGTATTTCTCTTCTGATATTTATAGTTTTAACCTGTTTATTCTTTATCTTCACGTCTTTAATTTTGTCTTTTATCAGAAGTATGTGACCAATACTGCGAATTTTTTGACAGTCTAGCAAATTCATTATTTAAACTGAAAACTATGTTTTTGACTAAATCGATTCTTTTTTGTTATCCATTAAGAATAAGATACTGCCGAGAATTTTTGCATTTTCCACATGTACTTTCTTTTAAAATGCTAAAAAATAAACTGTATAATGGCACAAAATGTATAGCAACAAATATGTATTGGATTTTTAAAAGCAGTTAAGATTTCTGCTGCATAAAAATTATATAAAACCATCACAAGAGATCATCATCGTAATGTATATTTTAGTTAAAACTTTGCTGAACATTCAAAACATGAACAGACAAAATAGTTATAGTATGTTCACCTTGACATAATAAAAAACATACTTACACAGTTGGTACATATCTGTCATCAAATTTCTTATCTTTATAAACTATCAACATACATGTCTTTCCCGTATCACCATCACCCACCACTGTGATCCTTATTGTATGTTTAGGATTCATGATTCTTTATAGATTTATACCATGTTTAGTCAAATTTTATTTAGCGAACACTAAAATAATTGTTCAATTATTTTGTCAAGACAAAGCTACTGCACATATTCATGAGAAAAATGTTATCAAATATCACTTATCTGTTTATTAGAGATAGATAAGATATATAATATAAGTGTTATACCAGGAAGATTACAGTTTCGTCACATTTTTATAAGTCTCGGTGATAAAGATAGCTCAGTTTGATCAGCAGGTTAAACAATTGATATTATTAGCAACTTTTCGAGTTTACAATAATTGTATTTAATTATATTCTATTCTTATTTTAAATTTATATTTAAAATAATTACTTAGAATAAATATTATTATACATACAGTGTATTCAGAAAGTGTAAAAAAACGGTCTATTATCTCATGATTTAATTATTTTCATAGTTTAAACTCTGACATGTCGATTTTTATTTTTGTTTTTAACCTCAGCTACTATAATCTGGGTCTGTCAGACCCAAAGAGTTCTCGACGACCACGCACTCTCCCCACCTTAAGTCATTTTTGGCTACGGCTCCAACTATTCTCAAACTTATTTAGTCTGAAATACGATAGTGAAGAGTGCATAATTTTTGTTAGCGACTTTTATAGATGTAGCTGGGTGTATTAGACTCACATACAGCAATTACGTGATTTTTACATAAATATTGTGTTTAATATATTTTATATTACGTTAATTTAGTCTTTTTGTATTAATATAATGTGTATTTTCTTCTTTTCACTTCAAAATAGCTCAAAAATAAACCTCTTACCGTCGAAGATATTGATGCCTTATTTCGAAGTGAGGATTTTTGGGTGGTCATTCTAGAAAATGTTGACGTCAACGTCGGCGTCGTCTTCAATAAATTTTTTAGTGAGTGTTGAGGGGATACAAGCAGGAGCCAATATCTAAAGCGAAAGCCACATGAATTTTTAGTGATCATGAATCGGTCAGTGATTATCGACTGAAATTCATCAGATGAAGAGCAGATTAAAACTTTATCTAGTGAAGAGACGACCAATTTGAAAATAAAGATGCAATGAGAAGAAGAAAAGCAAAGAAATTACTACAAGGAAAAGATAAAACAAAATGGTCAAAAATTAAACTAAAAAGAACTAAAGCTCTCAAATAGACGCTACTGTGACAGTTCTGTCTTTTTTAAAAGGTGCCTTTTACGCTAATACTCCTGAGACACTTGTAAATTTCTGATTACTCCAGATCTATAAGAAGTAGTGCTTCGGACCAACGAAATTGAAGTTATCAAACAGCAATACGGGACATTCAAACGAAATAAAAATTCCAGACAGTTATTTGGTCCTGCATGCATGGAGTATTTACATCTGGAGACCAGGATTTACGTTCAATGTGGGCAACTGATGGAAACAGGCTGCGATCATCGCCAACGATCGGAACGGACAGGCACCCTAAGAAGAAGAAGAAGTACAATGGCACTAGCAAGATTTTCTTTATAATGTCGTGTCTCCGATTTGATGATGCCACAACAAGAACTGAGAAAAAAGAGATACTAAATTGACACCAATAATTAATATACATATCTCAACAATTTGTACAAACTTGTTCCAACAATTACTCACCTGGATATTATTTGACTATTGATGAAATGTTCATCTGAGATTCATAAGAAACCACTGGAAAGAAATGGCAGATTTGGCAAGGAATACAATAACATACCAGCAAACGAATGGGAAAGATATCTAATGGAACTGTTTAAAGGAAAGGATAATAATAATCAACACAATAACGTACCTGAATTAAGACACGAAATAAAAATCAGTTTTCAGCAAGTAGAGATAACCATAAATTCATTCAAAAATAGAAAGTCACCAGGACCAGACGAAATAAAGCTCCAAAGATTAACACATATCTTCAATAAAACAGCCAAGAAATACTATGATGATATCAGCAGAAAAAAAAAACAAAAAAAAATATTATTTTTCAAAAAAAAAAAAATATAAAAAAGTATACTGAAGTTTAAATGTGATGAGTTTGGTATGGTTTTACTCAGAAAAATATGTGCTTTTAATTCTTCAGATAAAATTTTTTTCTCTAATAAGAGATTATTTAAGATAATAAAGATATTTATAATAAGAGAATCTTAAATAAAAAAAAATTCTATTTAACAATATTATCGATGACGTCACATATGCCAAAGATAGTGGCAGTAAAAATGATTTTTTTCCAAAAGACCTGTCAGAGCTTTATAACTCTGAAAAAAAATTAAGTCATGAGATAATAGACCGTTTCCACACTTTATGAATACACTGTATATTAATGTAGTGTGATTTAAAACGTATTTGATTAATTTGATGTTAGTTTATTTTTCCAATCTGTGTTTGTAATCCAATTCGATTTTACTACCGAAACTACGGCACTGATTTAAACGGATTATTCCAGACCTGATGTTTTGGAAGTAATGGATCACCATCATAAGCACTAAAACAATTTCAAAATCATAGAGAAACAAATATTTTCCGAATGTTATTTCACACTCCCTTTTACCGCAAATTCGTCGAATTTATGACCAAAATCTAGTTCTCCTGTGTAGTTAAAGCGTTCGTAGGCCAGTCAAAGGTTTGGCATGGTGTTTTTATAAGAAATTTTGTCACATTAGTTGTGTCGTAAAAAATAATTCTTTTTACTTCTTAATTTTGTTGTGCAGTTACTCTGTGATATAAAGGGCGATGTCAGAATCAACTCCCCAGTCCATGCAACAGCAAATCTTTGGTTAATATTTATTTTTAAACATTTTGAAGGGTTAGGACATACAATTTTTTGATTCAAATTATTGCGATGCTTAACCCTTTAAAGGTCTGTGGTCGATATTTCGACCACTGCTCTTATTAATACTTATGAGCTAGTAATTGACATGAAAAGTTACCGAAGTGCAAATTCAGTGTTTGTAAATGAATTGTACCCAAAATGAACACCACAGAACAAAATACGGCAACGTGGCAGCAATGTGGTCGATTCGCCAACCACAACCCATCATACTCTGTAAGTTACCGTTGAACGTGATCACAGGTTTTGGAGTAAACTAGATTACGATTCAAACTCAAGGTAACACATCACAGTATTATGGTCTTTTATTATCTATTCAGATTTTATTGGCGCTAAGATGATATATCTTGATTTACTAAACATAACCTCAAAGTAGCACATGCTGATTTTACAATTGTTCTATTGAAATGTATTTTCACTCTTGTTTATTTTAAATCTATACAATTATATTCTTTTTTTACGTAAATCTGACTTACTTGAATAATATTTCCAAGAATTAAATTGCTGTGCGGTAGATCAAGTAATTAAATTTTTCAAGTATTTGTATACAACAATGTACGTATCTTTTGCAGTAAAATGGAACACCGCAATATACTTGAAAATTTACAAAATATGACTCAGGATGATTTATTTGATTACATAGATGGTATTCCATATCAACAAGCCATAAATTCAGATTTTGAGGGTGATTCTGATGCAGAAGATAATCTTCCTATTTCCAACCGAACGTCGCGTTGCATCCAACGCGACTATTACTTCATTGTCTAATGATGACAAGGTTGAATTTCTTGATGTTGATTCAGATGACTCAATGGATGATATAGCTTTCCACCCTCAGGTAAGAACAAATCGCATTTTTGACGACGTCGATACTTCCTCAGGCGAAGACGAAATAGAAGAGAACCAAGAGAACACAGTAAAGTGCGATGATACATATAAATGGAGAAAGAACGCTTCTGATGCACAAAAATATTCGAATGCGCCGTTTACCAGACCATTTGGCCCAGCAAAACCGGTCAATATAAATTCACCATTCGACGTGTTTTCTTTGTTCATGAGCAAAGATATTATAGCTAATATAATTACACAGTCAAATCTCTATGCTCAACAACAAAATCATAATAATCTCGACCTAACTGAGGAAGAACTGAAAGCATTTCTAGGGGTTCTTATAATCATGGGGTTTCATAAACTACCTAGTTTGAGACATTATTGGTCAACTGATATTAACATGCACGTGCCAAGAGTTTCGCAAATTTTTACGCAAAAACGATTCTTAAAAATTCTTCGTTTTCTCCATCTAAACAATAACGAAAACATGGAAAGAAATCAAAATAACCCCAATTTTGACAAACTGTTCAAAGTAAGGCCTTTGATAACAGAACTGCAGCAACGCTTTCAAGAGAACTTTTATACAAGTAGAAATGTTGCGGTAGATGAAAGTATGGTTGCTTTCAAGGGGCGAAGTTCTCTCAAACAATATATGCCGAAAAAGCCCATAAAAAGAGGCTTTAAAGTTTGGGTCGTTGCATGCTCCGAAACTGGATACGTGCACAAATTTAGCATATATGAAGGCAAATCTCAATCACAACATGCTGAATATGGTTTAGGCGCTAAAACGGTATTAGACATTACCGAGTCTCTTAGAGGCGCAAACTACTGCATTTATTTCGATAATTTTTTCTCGAGTTTTCCTCTTCTTAAGAAAATGTTAACCTATGATTTGTTCTGCTGTGGAACTTTTAGAATAAATCGTAAAGGCTTTCCAACACAAATGAGAAAGGACAAAACAATGAAAATGGGAGAACACGATTATTTCATGTCCAATGATATGTCTGTTGTTAAATGGAAAGATCGGGGGCGCAAATGCGTTTTAGTCGGCAGTACTATGCATAATCCACTTGAGATTACTTCAGTTTTGCGAAGAAAACCGAATGGTGAACAAGAAAGTGTTAAGTGTCCAAAAGCCATAAGTGATTACAATCGCTATATGGTGGAGTCGATCTATTCGATCAACTTCATGCTTCTTATCCAATTTCATGGAAATCCCGAAGATGGTATATGAAGATTATTTACTATTTGATTGATGCAGCAGTGGTAAATTCATATATAACTTATAAGACTACAATGAAAATGAGGTCCATTAAATCGAAACCAATGAGTCACCTGTATTTTAGAAGTGTATTGGCCAACGAGCTCATAGGTGATTTCTATAACAGAAAGAGACCAGGACCTAAGGTAACAATAGGAAGAAATAAACTGAAGAAAATGGGAGCAACCACTAATTCTGTTAG